ATTTACTACTTGTCGTCATTTGTAGAACTAGTGATCTTATTGGCGCTAGCACTACTGGTAATATTAGATGCAGACACAATCGCAACAGTTGCACTTTCAGCTTAGATATGGTACCAACATAGCTCCTCCATCAAGAGCTTCTAGCACTCTTTAACTAAAAGGTAAGCTGTGTTCTCGTTTCTATTTTTTTCCTCTTCTCTTGCACAACCTGCCCTACAATGCTTACGTACAGATTTTTTCCTTTTTAGCACTGCCAACTGATGAAGTTACTGGACATACCATCAGCCCACTGTGTATTGTGTGCAATGTGACTGATGAGTGGACTGGGAGACAGGGGGCGCCGGTTCCTTCTAATTCCATAGTTATGTGAATCCTGGTGAGTGTCAAAGGGACCAGTTCGTGTTGTAGCACGCGCAGACGGGTTTGCCGATCCTGTCAGCCACTGCGCCCATCTCGCATCAGGCGACCGATCAGCTAGGTGATGGCCTGATGCAGGCGCTAGGGGAAAGAGCGAGGTCGATCATCAGCGCACTCTTTCCTCATTATAACAAATCTGACGCGCTTGAAGCTATCACGGTGCGCTGAAGGCCGTGGCCTGGTGGGCTGCCAACTGATGGGATAACTCGGACCACGCAGTCCGTCCAGTGTGTTTCTTGTTGTATGGAGAGGCTGACTGGCGGACTGAGAGTCAGGTTACAATGGTTCCTTCTTGATGTGGCCTTAATGGCATTCCCGCGCGCGCGAGAGCCTACCTAGAAAGGTTTGCTGTTGGTACGCGTGTTGGGGTGTTAGCTGTGTTAGCCACCTGGCCCTCCCCCATCTCCGGTCTTCTCGACTTTGTCTTGATATCGGGTACAGGTGTGAGAGTGGGGTAGATTCTCTGCGAGTCTTCTTTCACCGTGGGAGTTACCGAGTTTGCCTCAGATTGCTGAAGCTCGTGCTGAACATAGTTGAAAACGACGGTCAAACTGTCGGTATTGTTTCCGATTTTCTTGGTGGCTTCGAAGGTAAATTCGTCCCCAGTTTCGAAGCTATGAGCGATCACTTGTGTTATGTTGTAAACTCGGCGCACAGCCAGCTTATGCTCGTGTATACGCTATCCGAGCACGCATTCGGGAGGATGGTTGGAATCACAAGACGAGCTTATGCCTGGCATGCAACATACAGTACGCCTGACCATCCCCTTGGAATTAGTCGGTCCTTGGTCCTACTGACCTTGCTGCGCATAGTAATATTTTGCAAGCGGAAACTTCCTAAGGTTGCCTTTGAATCGTCCTTCATTTACGGAGAGCATTTCACATCACCG